CGGTGCCACCTGGAACCAACTGACCATCCCTCTGCCTAGGGCAGCCCTAGTCCCCGTCCGCGAGAACCCAAGGGGATTCACTCGGCAGCCCCCGCTCCCCTCCCGCCGCGCCTCTGCCCCGGTGTCGGGCTAGGTACTGGGCTCCCTCGCCCGCCGCTTCCCTCACCCGTCTGCACACTCACGGGCCATGCCGACCACCGGACGGAACCTGGAAGAGAGCGACTCGGAAAAGCAACGGCTCCCTCGCACGCTCAGCCACTGTCGCCACCCGTCGATCTGAAAAACTGAGCCCGCGCCCGCCCTCCGCGGGGCAACGCCTCCGCTCAGTCCGCTAGCCGCCCAGCCCCGCTGAGCCCTGACAACAGCCGCCGGCGTGGCTGGCGAGCTATTGCGCGTGCGCGCCTGGGGGGGTGGGCGGTCGCTCCCCGAGGGCGGGGTCGCAGCTCCAGAGCTTCCACTGCACCCGGCCCGGCTGCTCCTGGCGTTTGCAGGTGTCGGAGAAGCAGGTCCCGTGTCCAAGAGAGGCTTAGGTGTGTGTGGATTTCCCACGCACTGGGGCTTAATCAGTCGTTTTTGACAACAAGGGACAATAAACACTACAAAATCTTAATTTTCGACAAAGAACGTTAGCTTTCATTCAGATCCCCTTGCAGAGGCGAAAAGGGGAGGAAGGAGATTGAACAATTTAAAGGGTTAACTGCGGATGACAGTGTGGACCATTTCTGTTTTCCTTCTTTATTCTGCAAAGTAGGCTTCATTGTTCTCATTTTACAGAACAGGCTGATTTAACAAGAAGGGATTTATAGAAGGCAGAATCAAATTTAACATGAACTCTAAACTCTATACATTTCTCATTTTATCCCAGTGTCCTTATCGCAGTCAATAGGGCTTTAGGAGTTTTAGGTTACTGGCTCTCTGCTTGGATTGTGAGGTGGGAAGAAGAGGGCAGAATTTAGAATAGCTCAGAATAACCTCAGCCTACGCAAAAACTGGGGACCATCTGCCTTAGCTAGAAACAAACATGTGAGCCTTCCACAAGGTTGGGATGTAGCTTAGTGGTAGGATTCTTGCCTGGCATGTGTGAGAGACTGGGTTCAACTCCCAGCGACAGCCACACACACACAAAAAGAAGAAATGTTTGTGTGTTTTGTTTGACTGATCCGTATTTTCTTACCTATTCCATTGTTACAAAAAGAGACGATCCGGACACCCTAAATTTGGTCGGTGTTTTTTAAAATGGTTTCATTTTGTATAATTATAATATAGTCCCCCCCATATGGAAAGAAAAAAAGGGTTTTAAAAAATTTTTGTTTTTATTTTTGGATGATTTCAAATATATACAGAAGTGTGGAAAATACTATAATGCACCCCCCAAGTACATTTGACCAAACTTCAACAATTACTATCTTATAAAATTGCTTATTTTCTTTATTTATTTTTTATTTATGGCACTGGGAATTTAACTCAGGGGCACTTTTTTCACAGAGTTACATATCCATCCCTTTTTATTTTGAGACAGGGTTTTTTCTAAGGTGCTTAGAATCATGTTAAGGTGCTGAGGCTGCCTGGAACTTGTCGTCCTCCTGCCTTAGCCTCCAGAGTCACTGGGATCACAGGCATGCACCTCTGCCCCTTACAAAATTGCCTATGTTAGAGAAGGCAGGAGAAAGTGGCTGTGGAAATGCAACCTCTGGGTTGAAAATCCAGCTTTGTCACTTAGTAGCACTGTTAACCTGGGGACTCTTTGTGTTAAAAGCTTCCTGTACCTGTAAAATGTAAGGTACAATTGTACCTCCCTCATTGATTGATTAATATTTTAAGTATTTGGTGAAGTATCAGCATATTCAATATGTTAGCTATTTTTTTCATTGTTCTGTCAACCTTAGCTGTGCATACTTATCACTGTTCCCATGCTCCTCCTGACCCCCTCCTTAATACTGCTTATAGATCTATTTAGTGAATCTCCTCCTCCTCCTCCATCTTGTTTTTTGCATTTCTGGGGATGTGAACTTTTCTTGAGTAACATAAGCAGAAGGAAAAGATTGACTCTGTGGCCCACCTATTATAAAGAGATCATTCTAAAGAGGGAGGAATGTAATGAATTTTGAGTTGGAAAGTGGGTAAGAGTTGTTTTTGTACAGGGCATGGTGGTACAAGCTTGTAATCCCAGTGTGTTGGGAAGTTGAGGCAAAAGGATTGAAAGCTCAGTGATAAAGTATCTCTGGATTCAATCCCCAATAATAGTTAAAAAAGGCTTGTTTTTGTTTGTGTTTTCAATTTATAATGACTGTTTTTTTTTTGCAGCTGAAATTATAGTATTTGAGTTGGAGGGGTACGCATGATGTACATCATATACACAAGTTATGTCAAGTGTGTCTTCCAGAGAAAACTGGAGACCGACCTTCCTTCCTTCCTTCCTTCCTTCCTTCCTTCCTTCCTTCCTTCCT